CAGCTCCATTCATTCCATACTTTGCTGTTGTTTGGTGAGACCATCATTTATATTTGTCAAATAGTAGCTGGTATGTGCCCTGGACAATCTAATGTCAGCTTTAGAAGCTTGAAAAAAATACATTTGCATAATAAATCTTACAGGTTTCAGAACATTCAGGACACCTCTTGTCTAAATCTGTGGGTATGCCCAGACACTTTAAAGCAGAACTCTAGTCTGCAGCTAACTATATTGTTATACTACTCCCCAACCACCCCCCACCGTAACCCCCGGTTGCTCAAAAGATAAACATGACCATGGCTGGTCTTTTTGTCTCAGGTTTTAAGAGTGGCTTCTCCAGAATGCATGTTTCAGTTCTTTCTACAGATGTTCGATTGGATTCAGATCAGGGCTTGTAGAAGGCCACGTCAGAATAGTGCAATGTTTTGTTATTAGCCAAATCTTGGGTGCTCTTAATTATGTGTTTTGGGTTATTGTTATGTTGCAGAACCTATGACCTGCCACTGAGACAGAACTGGGCAATACATTTGCTCCAGAATTTCTTGATAGCCTTGAGATTTCATTGTGCCCTGCGCAGAGTCAAGGCACACCATGCAAGATGCACCAAAGCAGCTACATAAACATAACTGAGTCTCCTCCATGTTTCACAGTAGGTACGGTGCTCTTTGAAAGATTAATTTTTTCATCTGTGAACACAGAGCTGGTCTGACCTACTAAAAAGATCAAGTTTTGTCTCATTTGTCCAAAGGGCATTATTCCAGAAGCATTGTGTCTTGTCAATATGCATTTTAGCAAATTCCAGTCTATTTTTTTATGTTTTTCTTTTAGCCATGGAGTCTTCCTGGGTCTTCTTTCTTTGAGCCCACTGTCATCCAAAAAGTGTTGGTGCATTCAGGCACCAATGTACTTTTAGCTATAATTTCAGCTTGTATCTCTTTGGAAGTTTTCCACGACACTTTGTCTACTATTCACACTATATTTCTGTTTAATCTGGAGCCAATTTTCGTCTTATGGCTACATTAGGCGATTAACTGCTCTTCATGAACCTTAAACTTCAAATCATATGTAAAACGTTAGTCACAGGAACATCAAGCTGCTTGGATATGGTCTTATAATCTTTAGCTCTTTTAAAATGCTAGTCTATAGTTTAATTTCCCATTTTCTCAGTGTACCCCCTTACACCTGTTGTCAGTGTGCCCCATTGAATTGGTAGTCAGCGTGTCCTCCTTTATAGGTGGGCAGTTTGCCTCATTACATTAATTGTCAGCCTGGCTGCCCCCCTCTGGGCAATCAGCAGCAGCATACTTATAAATTTGGTGACAGTGGTAGCAGGTGGGCAAGCAGGCAAGCTGATGGCAGCATGACCAGTTTCTGCACACATGAAGAAGCCTGGTCTGCCGGCAATCATCAGGACTTGGGGTAGAGGGAAAGCAGCAGAATGTAGTAAATGAAATAAGGGGCACTTAGCATGAGATGTGGGGCATGTGCCTCCAGGGCCCAGCAATCCCTCCCAATGAAACCACTGTGCCCCAGGTATCTTCCTCTTCTGCCCCCCATGAGATCTGGGGCATGTGCCTCCAGGGCCCAGCAATCCCTCTCAATGAAACCACTGTCCCCCGGGTATCTTCCCTTTCTGCCCCCTCTTCCAAAATGGGTCCTGCCTTTGGCACTTTAGATACAGGGCCCTGGATGATCAGTGGTAAGTGTACATATTACAGACCAGGAGCTTTTACTACACTACGTGGCTCCATCCATTTTCTGACAACCATTTGTGACAAAACATCATTAATCCAAACTTTATCAGACTAATCAATGGCATGAGCAGTTAGTTTTATGGTAACTTAAACTTTGTTTAAAACTAGTTTTAGTTGGGTATGGCCATGGAATTTGTTGAGTAAATATACATGTTCTGCTTTTTGCCTAGCAGCACAGCTAGTTCCACAAACATAAATCTAAGCAATATATTAATGGCTATAATACATTCTCTATGTAGATTGTCCTGGTACTGCTTAAAGAGGAACTTCAGCCAGTTACACAATTTTGCCTTGCAGTGGAGCTGCCCCTGCACTGCAGGGGTTAATTGCTCATTTTTCTCTAGGGTCTAAAATATAAAAAGAGATACTCGCCCGATCCTCAGTCCTGCTTGGCTGCTAGACTGGTCCCTGCAGCCTCCCCTCCCCCTTCTGCTCCCAGTGGTCTAAGGATCTGTAAGTTATCACGTCCAATACAGGGTATTAGATGTGAGGATGCCGAGCCTCAGGGGGAGAGAGGTGAGTGGTCTCTGCCAGAGAATCAGGGCTCTGGTGAGTTTAACTTCTTTTTCTTAGATCCTAGAGAAAAACAAGCAGTTAACCCTTGCAGTTAACTTTTGTAACTGCCCCAAATAGTTTTTTAAGTCACAGCAGTCTCTCAGCAACAGTGGCGATTGCAAACATAAAAGAACACAGTGCAGGGGATTTATCAAAGCTGGAGCCGACAGAATCTGGAGCAGTTGCCCATGACAACCAATCAGCTTCTCTCTTTAGTTTATTCAGTTAAGGTTTTAAAACGAAAGAGAGAAGCTGATTGGTTGCCATGGGCAACTGTTCCAGATTTTGTCTGCTCCAGTTTTGGTCAATTCCCCTCAATGTATGTGTGCAATCTGATTCTGAAAACATGGCAGTGTAAGCAAGTAGAAGTGTGAAAACTTTAAGAAAATCACTTTACAGTAATAATGAAAGAGAATTGACCTGCAGCAGCATCTGCTTATACTATAATGCTGTCGTATAGAAACATTTTTTGTGAACTTAGGCATTAGTGTGCAAAGAACTTTAAAGGATGTTTTCTAGGAAACCGAGAGTGGCAGAGACCTCTCCATCATCATCAGCATCCCCTTTAAATTGCTTTGTGTTTTTATACTGATTGTTGACACTGCATATTGATTTAGGTTTTTTTCTTTATTAACAGCACTTTTACCCTATTTAAATGCAAGTATGTCTTTATTTAATTGATTATTCAGTAGCATAGCGTTACTAGACTAGATGTCTTGTGCAGTTCTTACATTAAGGGTAGATGTTGCTTTAGTTGATTTCTAGTCTCCTGTTATATTTTGCGCTATTATTTTTAATGTGCCGTGTATAGATTGCATGCTAATGTTTTTCCAAATACAATTGCAGTTACCCTAACTCTGATAATTACAAGCTCACATAAAATAAACCTAAAATGAAAAATAACTGTCTAATCCATGCTGGACTTCAGCTTCTTCCAGATGCCTGATTCCTGGGGCACTCCAATATGTACACATTTCCTTGGTTTTCTGGACTAAAAACCTTGTCCTGCTTTCGCCTGTCTTCTAAGCCACACTGTTAGTCCATGACTTTGATGGGCAGCCTCAGTGATCATTAGTGAGACTTTGGAGGTAGGACCAGGCATTCAACCTAGGAAGTTGGGCTGATATGTGCATATTTTAATGTGCCCAAGTATTCAGGTCACCCAGAGCACTGACCTGATGTGCCTAATATCTGCTGCCAGTATGGATTGTGTATTTATTTAACACATTTGGTTTACTTTAATATGGATTCCTAAGATTATCAGTAACATTAGTGACACTTAGTCTCACAAATTGTATTTGATCCGAAAATAATTTTATTTTACAAATCTGGTTGAAGATGGCCACATTCTATTCTTTTCTCCTATTGCTGCTTTTTGGAAAAACTAAATACTTATTATAGTAGCAAACATGTATCCTAAGAATGGTCCAGATTATTACAATTTCTGCTTGCTTCTTATTTTTCATTCTTTTCTTGGAACAAAGAATAGAATATGGAATTAAGCCAGGCTGCTTACATCCTTGCTTTCCGTTCACCTAGATTAGTGTTTACGAAACAACATTCTCTGCAGCTGCCTCTGTTTGTTCAGGATGTGGAATGTCTCCAGTTAGAGCTAATGTTTTGCCTGATTCATTTCATTATATTTTTTCTTATAAACGGTGTCCTTCACTAGAAAACATAAAAAATTAAGCAAATTATTGCATGTATTTTAGGCTCTGTTACAATGAGTTGAAAATAGAAAGTTTGAATACCAATACCCAAAAAACAGGCAACATTGTAGCATATCAAAGGGAGTATTACATATATAACATGTATGCACCCAAAAGTTTTCTGAGTACCGCTTATGTACACTTCCAACTATAACTAGATTGTAAAGAAAAACCTGTCCTGAAATGCATAGCTGCCGTTCCTGACCTCCTAAAAATGCTAGTTATATAGTTGCCATACTGGCTTTCTGAGTCAGTGACCTGGAGTGGGTTAGCGAGTCAGGAAAGTCAGATGTTTAGAAGCAATATAATCAATGTTGCAGTCAGACAACTAGCATTTTCAGAAGGAGAGGTCAGCAGTGGCAGCAACCATGTTTCCTTTAAATGTTCCAGACAGTTGGATATTCAGCATAGGTAGATTTCACAGTGTGTATAAGTAGACAAAATGTTAAAAGGAAATAGAAAGTGTATGGTATGTGATGATAAAAATCACTTTGTGAATTCAGCTACGCCTTTTTTTTTATTGTAAGGAGTGAAAATATATTTTTTGGATATATTATTTGACTTATATTTGAAAAGTAGAAGTAATTTGTGCAGTTTGTGGCAAGGGACAGTCATGTGGTCAGTGGTTCATGCTGCTGTTGGTCTGTACATGTTGTGTGAATGCTTTCACATTCTTCATGAATGGTGTCCATATATCCGTTTAGGGAGCATACATGCACAGCTGACCCAATCTCTAGTGTAGAATCATCAGATAAATAATTAAGTTATCATAACAGTCGGAAAATGTCTTCACTTATATGAAGGTTTTTCCAATAGCTTGAGTTCCTGGATGACAGCGGTTATTTCCCTTAAACATTATCTTTGCCTAATGATTGTAATATGAAGGAGACATACCATGAACAAGACCATTCAGAGCATGTACAGACATGGGGAAAGTTATGAGCTTTTATTCTATAGTCTTTCTGTTTGTCTTTCTGGACAGGTTTTCCTGCAGCAGCAACCTATGGACCAGTCGCAGCAGCAGCAGTGGCAGCAGCTAGAGGATCAGGTAGGAGGGTGTATACATTGAGTGGAGTTCAGCTATCTTTAGACAGATCAAGTTCCATGGTTAAACCACCCATGGAACTTGATCTGTGTGTCTAACATTAATAGTTCGCATTTTTGGCTTCAGATAATAATACAAGACAAAGGTGAAATATCAAATTTGACTTGACACCCCTGTTTTGAAATAACCGACAGTGCATAAAGTTGGCAACACATAACATTTTTATTTTAAAAATTGGTTTGGAAAAGGAAATCCTTTACGATTATGATTAGATTTACATTTTCACGTTATGCATATTGAAGGAGCCAAAAGAAAGTGTTTCATATAACCACCCGCCTTTGCTATCTAGCTAGCAAATAATGAATGGACATACCTTTTACCCTGACATAGACGTTTACTCTTACGTGGAAGTCAGGATATTGCCCTTGAGCTCTACAGTATAGCGTTGGCATATATTTGCCATATTAGCTGGGCCGCATCAATCAGCCAAAGCTTTCCACCTGATTGTGCCAGCCTATTTCCTTTATCGTTTTCTCACCTTTCCAAGCTTTTTCTCTTAAAATCTATAATTGTTTAACCCCTTCATGACTGAGCTAGTTTTTAGTTTCTGTTCGTAAATGACTGACACACTTTTGACATTTTTGCTGTGTGATTCTTCCACGTTAGTAATATACTTTCTTACAAAGTGCACCCACACATATTATATATTGTTTTTTAGAGGACAGATAGGGCTACATATTTATATCACATATGTGTGTATAACGCCTCACTTAGGACAAATAAAATATAAAAAAAGAGGAAAAAAACGTTAAAAAAAACACTTTTTCCCAGTTTTGATTTGTAGTATTTTTTTTACAAAACCAGCACAGCTAAAAAAAAATGCAATAAATACATTCATTTATTTGTCCCTTATTTTATTTTATTTTTTACACATTTTTTTTTTTTTTACACTTTTCACTTTTTTTTAAACTTAAAAATGTTATTTTATTTATTTAATTATATCAAGCAGTCATTGTGAATTAATCTCACTGTTACTGCTTGATAAATTAATACATTTTTGGTTATTATCAGGCTGCTTCAAACTTCAGAACAGCCGATAATAAGTTAGTGACACTGATCCTGCAGCAGTTCAGGATTCAGCTGTCACTGAATGTTTTCTGATTGTTGCAACAACGATCAGCAAACATTCTTCTTCCAGGAATAGATACATTATAGGAATAGACACATTATGTATCTATTCATGAAAGAAAAAAAGAAAAAAAAGCAAGTATAGCTTGAGAGAGATATCTCTCTCGATCTATACGAGCTGTCAGAATGCCGGCAAAAGCCGGCATGTGTGTCCGCTCTGCTTTGACTCTCAGACACCCGATATTAAGGTATCGGGTGTCTGAAAAAGGTTAACCCTTTCATTAATGAATGCCTCTGTAGTAAGGGCATCCCTTAATGAATGTTAAAAGCTGATTCTCAGCGGTTAACAGCCCTCTAAAGCAGCAAATAACTCGTCACGTACAGTGTACGTGACAAGTCATTTGGTCCCTTTGTGGCTGGACGTACAGTGTACGTCTCCCGTCACGAAGGGGTTAAATCTTTATTTCTTTTTTTTTATTCTGGAAATGGAGAGGATAACAACATGTTGGTACTATACTTTAATATATTCTAAAAATCTTGTTTAATAAGTTCCACCAACTAGCAACAGAATGCCAGTGGCATTAAATGGGAACGTGAGTGCATTCTATTCGTAGACGGTTAATGTTTACGTTTGATGCAATTATTAGCTATTCAGTCATTTTCCATTTGTTTTACAGTGCTCCTAACACTATATAGTATTACCTTTGCTCTGCAGGATTTCTTGATCCTGGCTGACCTGTGCGTGTCCCCATACCATCTTAGTGGAGACGTTCCTGCATGACGTGTATTCTATATTCCTGGCAAAAGTCCGTTCAGTTCTATTTAGAGCACAGTAAATATGTTCTTCCACAGCTCCTGAGTAGCCTTGTCAATGTCAGAAATATTTTCAGAAGGTCAGTTAGAGAAGGAAATAAAACCATGCAAGACTCCTGGCCTTACTAGGGACATTGCTTTTTTGCATAATATCATAATAACTGTATAAAGCACAAGATAAAAATATATAGAAGATAAACAAAAAAGCATCCTACTGGTCTTAAAACAGGCATAGGTTCAGACCTATTTTTCACGTTAAATGCATGCATAGGAGGTAATGTGTAAGTCTAACTCTTACCGGTATTTAACCTCTTTGTTTTCTTTTCTCCTCAGAAGGCTGATGCCATCTTTGTTCAGGCATCATCCAGAGTCAACATTACTCAATGTTAACTCATAAATGACAAAATCATGCACCTCTTGGTGCTTGCACATGAGACTTTATATTCTTGGCTGTATGTTCATATAGTATGTTCATATAGTTTACTGCAGCTCAGCCCCTTGCTGCGTCCTCTTATCTTTTTACAATGTATAGATTGAGTGAGTGAGACCTGGGAGAGGGAAGACCAAGAATTACATTAACTTTGCCAGCAATGGACAAACCTTTAACTTTCATGTCTAAAGGCATTTGAGGGATTTAGGCTACCACAAGCCCCATTTATCCTGTGTAGTACTTAACTTACTTGCATTAAATTGTACAGGTGCACATATTTCCAGATACATATTTTTATACTTTATTATTAAAAGTTTACTCATTCCAGATCAAAGTAGGGTCCTACATGCCATAATTCAGTATCAATAGCAGCAAATTTGGACTACTTGTATTGCAGTGATTAATAGTAAATCAGTTACGTTTCCTTAGTTGTAGATCACTAATTCAGTTTTAGTTGCCACATGCCAGGTTTGTTAGTATAATATTGGAAGGTTTTTAGTTTGCAGCTCATGGTACTCCTGATTGTTAGTAATTGTAGCTGGGGTAGTAAAGCAATGTGAGAATATTTTAGACAGGAAAAAACAAGGAGAGTAGGACTTGAATCCCTTGAGTGGATGGAGGAGGGTGTGCGAGTTAGCCAACAAAAACAAGAGTAGCATACATAGACATAGGAGTTTCCCAGTGAAACAAAAACCACCAGCGAGTAGAGATCTCTCCCTTAAATAACCAGAGGACTATAGATAACCCAGTTGTGTGTAGTTATTACTCCAAATAATGTTTGTATATGGATGTTAAGCATGTTAGGGTTATTCTTTTTCTTATACCATTGTCCTGGTGAAGGCTATTGTTAATTTTAAAAATTTATAAATTAATAGCCCTGGCAATTAAAATGTACATTTGTCAAGTAACCTAATCTGTTTTACAAATCTAAACCTACCTTCCTGTAATACAATCTATAAGAAATAAGGACTGTTAAGGTGAGACTGTGGGAGGGGGTGCAGAAAAGTAGACAAATGGATGCAGACATGGACAGGAAAACTCTACTCGTAATATCTGTGTCTGCTATCACTTTATCAGGAGCCACACGTCTTTGTTCCTGAGGACCCAAGGCGAGCAAGCCTGCAGCCTGGTCCTAATAGCATGCTGCAGAAGAAAACGTTTCTGTTAAAGCTGATCTTCAGACAAACTGCTAAATACACAGTAGAAGTACATATGCAGTAACTGATTTATTTGCCAGAGGATTTTGTGATCTATGCTTCCCTGCCAGGCAGCACAGTCAGGTACCTGACTGCCACTGCATCAACAACACATCTTAGTCAAGAACCCACTGCCAACCTGCTGACTGGACATTGAATTTTCACCCTGCTGTTTCCTTCAGTAATCCTGCTCCTTGTAAATATATTTGCACTGCATCCATGGCCTTATTGACTTCTAGTGCTGACTATACAGAACATTCAAAACTGCCTTAACTGGTGTTTTTTCATATTACCATTGCTCATTTATGATAACCAGCAAAATTAAACCCAAAAGGTTTTTAGATGACCAGTGGCTCTAAATCCCAGGGTGCTTATACCACAAGCAATGCCTTCCTAGTGTTGGCATTACAGTGTTTTTTTTGTTTTTTATTTCACCTAGATCTGCCTTCTAAATTGGCATGCACCTGTACTGAAGGAAAGAGCCCAGTGATAAATGTCAATGGTGCCATTTCTACATAGGTATGAAAGTGACACATATATAGTGACTGAAAGAAAAAGTGCATGAAACCTCCAATTGCCATTTCCTTAGTACACTTGAGCATGCATTTGCTGCTTTGGACTGGGACCTGGCATCCTATGCGCTCCTGCATTAGAAGCATAGCTATTGTTTGAAAGACAAGGCAATTCTGCACATGGGGCAAGATTAGTACTTCCTGCCCATGTGGGCCAATTCTCTTGCGTCACCCTGTTTCTATCCTAGATGACTAGCAAGTCTTAATATTACACTAACAAGATCAGAAATCATAAGCATTCAATGATCGATTAGGCTCCTAATAGAGATTGAAAAAGATAGTATAACCACTTTACACTATACCTATAACTGATAACTTTAACATTAAGTAAAACTGTCACTGTACTGTGCTAGATGGATGAACCCAATGTGGGTGAACTGTACATGATAAAACCAGCATAACTACACAGACTGTTCCAGGGTCAGCAATAATGCTTACCCACTGGTCTTCTCTGGCAAGCAAGGGGACAGTCTAAAACCTTTTTATCATATGCATTAATTTGTAGTTGACACTAACATGATTTGTGGGTGACTGCATGCTGTCCCTGGCAGACCTGCCCTCATAGGCGACAACCTATGTTGTCTACACAGAAATCCCGTCCAGTCTGCACGGACAGTGGAAGTATAATATGCACTTATTCACATTAAAATAACTTGACCTGCCTTAAAACTTTCTAAGATAGCAACAGCCTTGAAGAGCCCTCCCCCATCGTAATTTAACTAACTACCAAATGCCAGAGCCACTACTGCCCCCTAAAGTTTTACATTTTAACAGGTAAATACCAGGAGATAGGGCTTAGAATCAGGAAGTTCCCCTTATACTGCAGCCATGAAAAAGGGCAGTATGTTTTGATCAACTCCAGCA